TTTTTTTTTTTTTTTGCCCTTGACTATTACTGGGAAGGTTTAATTCACATGCTTCTTATTCATCTTCATTTGATTAATCCAAATGGTGCTATATCATTTGATTAATTCATACGTTGTAGGATATTAAATCTTGGGAACTGTGGGTGCCAGTTACAAGGTACACTTAGAAACTTTGCACAGATTTTGCATTTCAGAGTGTTTGTGTTGCACGTTGTTTATGTGATTTCTCCCTATCTTTCTCTGCTTCACATTATTATCAGTATTAGTATTATGTTATTGTTAGTATAATTATTATTATTAGTTTCCAACTTCAGAATGCACTAGAAAGAAAGAAAAATAAAATAGCTGGTGCTATTTCTGCATTTTCCGTTGAGATGAGGTTTTCATTTTGCCCAATTTTCACCGTTCCTCTGAAGCCCCTTAATAAATAACCTTATAACCTCTAGACCCTATTGATTTTCAAATGATTTCAAATAAAAAGCATCCAGTTTCCATTGCTTTGCCGAACTGTTCGGTCCCTGGGCAATACCTATTGGATTCCTATTAAATGAAGGGGACAAGAAACAACAGAAAATCCAAAAAGTGGTTTTGAGATGGAGGGGGGGAGAGGTGGTCTCAGCGCAGCTCGGTAAATGGGTATTTAACCTTTGACCAATGACGACAGGTCTTCTTTAGTTCTATTAGGCCAAGAGCAAGCTGTTATGATTAAATAAAAGAGGAAAAAACTGTTTAGAGCCTTACTGAATATGTCCTGGGAATTAAAGCATATGGCAGGGATGAGGGGAAAAAAGATTTTCCTTATGCTAATGACCCTTGATGTCTGAAATAAATTAGATCCATTAGAGTTCATGCTCAATAAAAGAAAGACTTTAAGCACTCCAAAGTTAGTGACTCGAGACCAGTTTTCGCTCTGAAATTCGATCTGCCTGCTTATTAATTCTTAGTGGGGCTCCAGAGCAGACAGGAGACGCAAAAATCATAATTCTGTACCGAGCCAGAATTTTAAAGGCCCACAGGTTTCTTTTCCTTTCCTTTTAATTAACCCATTTTCCATGCTTCCCCTTTCGTTTCCCTCATTAATTTGATTTCGTTCCCATTTTTGTTTCATTTTGTTTTTTTTCTTTTCAAGGTTTCATTTATCCCATTTCAACTGAACAGAGAACCCAGAATGAATATGGATTTTCTTGTAAGTTGGATGTTTGGATTTTATGTTGCTGAATAATCATTTAACGTTACTGCCCTCAGTTCAAGTTTACCTTTCTCTGGCTCACAGATGTGCACGCAGGAAATAGGAGCCTAATATATTCTAACATGAAAAACAAATGAGATCTTCACTGCTGAAGAGGAGAAAGGGTCATTTCAAGACTCCACGGGCTTTAAAATCTATCAGTCTACCGTTAAAAGCTCGAGTCCCAGTAGCTGACGAAACATATCATGAAATATGCTGATATAAGTAAAGGCAGGGATCAAACACTAAAAACGAAAGGGTTGAAAAAAGGCATATCTGTTGAGCTAGAAATCGTGAATGTTAAATAAGTAATGATGACCCAGTGGAGTGAAATATTAAGGATTTCGATATGATATTCTGACCAGAGTTGGGAATCTTGTAGCAGGGCCTCAAATAAAACCCAGCAGCAAAGTGGAGTCAGCACTTCAAAAGCAGAAAGCAGTGCTCACGCAACCAGGAGTAGCTGAGATGTCCCTGGGTTCCTGAAAAAAAATCTGTCCATATCGACTTAATTGATAGAAAAGCGGATAGTCTGCTTTGAGGACAGT